CATCCTGCCATCCTTCCTTCCCTCCCACCATCCTGCCATCCTTCCTTCCTCATCCTCCTCAGAGGTCCACCTCCCTCCTCTGGCTTCCCACTTTCCTGTGCTCCTGCCGTATCTCTCTCTCCGTGTCTCTCCCCATCTCTCTCCCACTCTCCCCCCTTTGGTCATGTGTCTCTGTTCTGTCTGTTCTTCTCCTTTCTCCCATTTCTGTCTCTCCCCAGATCCTCCCCTGTCCCTCCCTCCCCAACTCTCTTCCCCCCTCACCACTCTCCCCATATCTCCCTCTCTCTCTCTCCCCTCCTCCTTCCCTGCCTCTCTCCCCCTCTCTCCTCCCTAATGGCACTAGTAGAGAGGGGAGCTGAGCGGCCGTGTTCCCAGTAACAAATCTTCCATATTATTCCCTCTCCTTTATTTACACCAGGCACACAGTAGCAATTCAATCTAAAAAAGCGCCGTGTTTTCAGAGGCGTGCAGCCCAAGAAATTGATGTTTGTGTTAATCAATCTTGTAGGAGCCCGCAGGGCTCAGAGAGGTGTGACACGAGAGATTTCTTCTATTGATTGATTGAATTCCGAGCAGGGAGGGTTGGGAAGAAAATCACACTCTTCGAGTGCCTGGAAGCTCTGGAGATGAGTCAGGTCCCTGCAGCTGACCCCCGCCCAGTCTGAGGTCACACAGGCTCCCTGGGTTCTGGCCCTCACAGCCTTCTCTGCTCAGCATCAAGCCTGGCCGGCGGTCTGGCTCCTGGTTCCAGGGCCAGGTCACCCCTCTCTTATCTAGGAAGTCTGGGGACAACCTGCCTTTAACCACTGCCCTGTGATGTCCACCCAAGCACCTCAGGCCACCAGAGGCCCTGGGCCTCTGTCCCGAGAGGACCCTGTGCATCCCAATGGCAGCATGTCCAACCCTGTCCCCTGGACACGAGCAGCCACATATAGTGGCCGGGCCTCAGGCTGTGTCCTCCAGGTACTGCCCAGCACTGCCACCATAGAAAGAGCCCAGGTGCTGGCCCCAAGCTGCACGTCTGCTGGCTGGGCTGGTGGAAATGGAGGAGGCACAGGGGTGTGGGGGCTGCTGCACCACTCCAACACTGGCGAAGACCCAGAGGGCTCTGCCTCAGACCCTGAGATGGACAAGGAGTCTCAGCTCACCTCCCTCCCAAAACCTGGGAGGACCAGAAGGGACAGACCCACAGAGGGACAGAACAGCACACAGTGTCAAAACACTCTGCATCTGTAGGGGACTTAATGGGTCACAGCAAAAACCCACACTACAGGCAGGCAGTGTTCATTAGAACACTTTGCAGAAGAGAACACAGTGATTGCTCAGCTGCCAAAAGACAAGGCCAAGAAAAATCAGGCCTTGGGACCCTAGGGCCAGTCCTCTATTCCAAGATGCCTGGTCCCCAGGAGTCCAAGGGCCTGGTGCCTGGACATAGTCCTTGTAGTTGGGGATGGGTGAGGTGGATGACTCTGGGCACTTCTGGGATGTTGCCCACTTTCCAGACAGGTAGTTTCGCACATTTGGGAGAGGGTCTACTTTTCTTTTTCCCTTCTGAGACAGGATCACCCAGGCTAGAGTGTAGTGGTGTCAGCCTAGCTCCCAGCAACCTCAAATCCAGGGCTTGAGCAATCCTCCTGTCTCAACCTCCCAAGCCTGTAGGCACCCACCACCACGCCCAGCTAGTTTTCCTACTTTTATAGAGAGGGCATCTCATTCTTGCTCAGGCTCATCTTAAGCTAAGCTCAAGCAATCCTCCTGCCTCAGCTTCCCGGAGTGCTGGGATCACAGGAAGGAGCCGCCCCACCAGCCTGTGCCTACTTTCAATAGACCCATCATAAGAGCTGTCAAATTATTCCTTCCTCTCCAGGCAGAGAGCCTCAGAACCACCTTCCAGGAATCGATGTCGTTAAAAGAATCAGCACACACAAAAAGATCCCTTTTCTATCATTATTCAAGCACCTCTGCGTGTGACCATGACAGTGACTGTGCTCTCAACTGCTAACATAAACCTCGCAATTGTGACTACCCTAGAAGCTCCGTCCCTTCCACAGAGAGAACCCTGGGGACAGGACTGACTGCCTTTCAACAGCGAGAAGTTAGATAGAAGGAAGCAGAGCTCGATGGCCCCTGGTCCCTTTCTAGAGAGGCATAGCAGACAGCAGAACTGGGGTCTGTTTCTCTGAAGTCCAGTAACCCGGAGCAGAAACCCCCAGGCAGCCACAGGAAACAGGGATTCCTCTCGCTCCTTCACTTGCTCTGGGCTAGGAGCACTGGGCCTTACCACTGAGCCCCAGCATCCCATCTGTAAAATGAGCTTGTAGAGAATCACCAGCGGGGACCGCCACTCCGGACATGAGACTGGAAAGCAGGAGTGGCCTTGTCCAGAGCAAGCATGATCTCCTTCCACCTAGACAGTTCCACTGGAAACAGCCCAGGAGCCCTGCCTTGCCCGCTCTGGGGGACCAGGGTCGGGGACGCACAGGTGTGGTGATCCAGGGTCCTGTCTGCCCTCAGCCAGCCCCCCTCATGCCTGCTCTGTCCCCCCTAGAAGGACGCTCCCATGACACCAGGACACCCAGACCCTGCACACTCGAAAGGAAGTGGATTTTTAAGGATGGTCAAAAGGCTTTTTCTCAAACTGCTAATTGGGTGACCCTTGCCCCATTTCCTTACACAAGCTCACACACACGCACAGCTCCACACGCACTCTCGTCTCTTGTTGATTTTCCAGCAAACAAAACATAATCTCTGTTACTGCAACAGAATGTCCTGTTTAGGTTGACAAGAGCCAGCATGGATGACCCTGAACTGTCCCACCATGAAATGCATTTCCAGGAAGAGTTCATACGACAACGTGAAACCCCGGCCAGGAGCCCCTGATAAGGCCGAGCGGGTCTCAGAGGGCAGCCAGCGGCGCCTGCAGTGACCCTCCGTGGTAGGGGAAAGAGCGACCTCATGTGTGTATTGAGAAATGAATATTCAAATGCAAAACAAATTATAGACGAAGATAAATTAAAGGCCAAAGACAAACTTGGAAAAACATGCAACATGTAGGGCTGAGAAAGATTTTACATTATTAACATATGAAGAGCTCCTGCAAACCATCCCGGTCCTGTTAGAGGGAAAGACAGGAAAGGGGCACGGACAAGCTTCAAAGCTCCAAGTTCAAAAATTAAGGAGAGAAGGACATCTCTTTACCCCTGCAAACTGGCATTCATTTTCCTGCAACTCTCTGAGTTAATGACATGGAGGGAAAAGGTACCCAGTTTCCCAACTGCTGCTCTAGAAGGAAATATGGGGCTTTTTACCCACACAAAAAGTCTGATTTGTGGGCGGCCCTTGGACCAGGCATTTCCCTTCTCACTCTTTTTTTTTTTTTTTTTTTTTTTTTTGAGATAGAGTCTCACTTTGTCACCCTCAGTAGAGTGCTATGGCATCACAGCTCACAGCAACTTCAAATTCTTGGGCTCAAACAATTCTATCACCTTGTCCTCCCGAGTAGCTGGGACTACAGGTGCCCAGTTATTTTTAGAGATGGGGTCTCGCTCTGGCTCAGGCTGGGCTTGAATCTGTGAGCTCAGATTATCCACCCGCCTCCGCCTCCCAGAGGGGTAGGATTACAGAAGTGAGCCACCGTGCCCGGCCCCTTCTTGCTCTTTATCAGAGGCGTAGGCAAGGATATTCGTGTGGAGGCTGGTGTCTGTGTCAGCAAAACCACGCAACACAGGGCAGCTCCTGTGGCTCAAAGGAGTAGGGCACCAGCCCCATATGCCAGAGGTGGCAGATTCAAACCCAGCCACGGCCAAAAACTGCAAAAAAAATCCATGCAACACAGCTCACCAGTGGGGATGTGTGTGGCTTCCTCCAGTTGTAGACAATGGAGCACCTGAGGCCATTTCAGCACATGGGGAGGGTCACGTGAAGGGCACCAAGAAAGTGCAATGAAGGCAGGAGGGAGACCTGAGCTCCAGGGGCCCAAAGAGGCACACGTCTG